GGGGAAAAAAAGGGAGAGGGGAAAAGGGGGAGAGGGGAAAAAAAGGGAGAGGGGAAAAAAAGGGAGAGGGGAAAAAAAGGGAGAGGGGAAAAAAAGGGAGAGGGGAAAAGGGGGAGAGGGGAAAAGGGGGAGAGGGGAAAAGGGGGAGAGGGGAAAAGGGGGAGAGGGGAAAAGGGGAAAAGGGGGAAAGGGGAAAGGACCAGTCTCTCCTGTACAGGAATCCCATGGGTTTGGGATGGCAGTGGGACCCACTGATCCCAAGGGCCTGGGTGATCCAGAGGTTTTAAGACAGCGTTTAGGGAATACCAAACACAGACACCACACTAAGCCCACAGCAACTACGAGGAGAAAAGAGCCTCCTAGAGAACCCAGACTAATCCCCTAACCAAAGGCTCCACACTTTGTGTCATCTGAACCCTCTTATGGGAAATTTCATCATGAGCTTTTGCCCCAACAAGCACCTCAGTGCCAGCATGTCAATATGTGACAGAACTTTTCATGAACAGATTTACTGTCTTGTAAATGCAGAATACTGGAGAACACTTTCTGTTGCTGCTCTGTGCAATTCTTTGGCCACAAATTTGCATTATGATGCTGGAAAACAATCCATTGACACAACGCAGTTCTGCTGAGAACAGTGACACCAACTAAATCTGTCCTCAAATACGGTGGAGCCTTTTCATCTTCTCTTTCAGGGTCCTCTAGACAGGCTGATTTGTGTCACTACTGTTGCCAGGGGAATTGGGCACAGAGACAGGGCCTGCCTTACCAGGTTTCTCAGATTAACTCCGCTCCTTTGCTTTGGTGCAGTTTATTCTGAGTCTATTAAAACTTCCCCTCCCTAGAAAGGTCATTTTCAACAAAAAACGATGTAAAAACACGCACAGAAAGACAGCAAACAGGTAAAATCAACCAAAAGAAAATCAAATGAAGGCAGATGTACAGCAAGCAAGGTCAAATTCACATGCTGCTTACCTCTTCACTTATCCCCCGGGACCTGCACACCAGCACAACGAAAACAACCCCAAAAGCAATCCCTAAGGCCATGATTACAAAGGGGATCCCAGTCACAACACTGGCTTCCAGCAGGACRTGCCTGAGTTTGCTGGCAGATGCTTCATCAATCAGAACACTCTGGAGCAGAGAGAGATGGAAGAGGAAAGGAAAAAAAGATTTATTTATTTCTGTGTTTTCTATATGATCACTTTTATGAAGGGCAGGCATTTCCAACACTACTTCATTGCTTCCTGACATAATCCCTACTAAAAATTCCTCCAGGAAATTCCTCCAGGAGCCAGAGGGATCAGCTAGTCTGCATTTCAAAGGGAAATGGGGATTTTAAACTTTTGCTTTAGGAATGGAATAACAGTGTATGTCATCAAAACCAGTCCCCCCCAAATCCAATCAATTCAGTGATGCATCTACAGCACAGGAATATTCACAACACATGACTCAAAAAAAGGTGTGATCTCCTCAAGTCCTGCCTCTGTCTGAGCATTCCTTTTCCTCATGGCCAGCTCCTTTGAATTTAAAAGGAGTGTCTGACTGAGTGTGTTTGGCAGGAGGGTGTTAACTAAGAAACAACAACAGCTTCCTATCTCTGTACAAAACAACAAGAAAATCAGCATTTTCTTTCCTGGCTAGCTCAAAGGGTATTTTTGCAAGCATTAACAATRCTGGAAAGACCTAGCAAAACTATTTACCTCATTTAAATACATCACTGGGAAAATCAGCGTTCGGATGTTGCCTGTTTCACTGTATGGAAAGAAAAATAAAAAATTATGAGTTTGGAACTTTTCAGCCTAAGGGTTGTGAAGACAGATTATACAAAAACAACAAATGAGGAAGGTGTCCCTAAAAAACCTCTGGGTTGTTCCTTTTTGTKGTGGATTTTCACCTCCTTGCTGGAGGGAGGTGAAAATCTCCCAGATGGATAATAAATTCTGATTTGGGAGCGGGGGTGTATTTTGGGAATTGGTGAGCAGTGAAAGACAGGGATCCATAAGGGGCTCCTTTGTAACTGACAGATTTGTGCCAGGCAGCAGGAATGTGAGCTAAGCTGATGTTGAAGGTTACTCCTGTTTGTAAAACACAGCAACTATTGTCCAAGCAACACAGACACAGCAGCAAAAATCCCCAACAGTTGGCACATGTGGCATCCTGGCTCAGGCAGGAGCTGTGTTCCTGTGACAGCTCCTGGGCACTGGGAAACAAGCCTGAAGGAAACCACTGACTCTCCCAAGGGGACTGGGCAGATCAAATTCTTCTATTTTAGTTATTCCAGCCAAGCTGTGCCAATAAACATCACCCTGCAGCAGAGCAGGGGAGTAGCTGCCATACAACATTCTTTATTCTTCAGGTGGAACTGCAGAATYGACTTCATCTGTGAGAGGAGAGGATACTGCCCCTTCTAAATGAGATTCAGTTGCCCTCTCCAACCCATATTCCATGGGAACACTGCAGAAAAATTCCCTCTGCTCAGATTTGAGACGTCCACCCAGCAGCAGAGAGCACTCACAGGAATTCAGGTAATTTTCGGACGTGAACGTTGACCTGCATCCGCTTGGCTGCCCGCATGACGAGCCCTGTCAGCTGGGGAACAACAGAGAGCAGTGTCAAAAAAAATAATAAATGTGAAAGAATGAAAACTGTGAGAATGCAGCAAGAAGCTGGTACCACAGTAGGATCTGTGCTGGACCTTAAGAGAGGAGCTGTGGAATTTCCTCCCTCTTCAGCTACACMTAACAGCTCCATGAGTCAGAGCACCATTTCTGTAAACCAAACAGGTTGTGATTGTGCTCTTTTCCTTGACCCACAATYGTGTGTGGGGGTGTAGGGATCACTGCTGTACTGGTTTTAGTTGGGAGAGAACCAATTTTCACCACAGTGTCTGGTTCAGGCTGTGTTTTGGAGCTGTGATGGAAACAGTGTGGGTAACACGGGATGTTCCAGTGACTGCTGAGCAGGGCTTGCACAGCCTCCAGGCCTTTKCTGTTTCTCACACTGCCCTGCCAGCGAGTGGGTGGGGTKTGTGACAAACTGGGAGGGGACAGGGACAGCACAAAAGGGCCTCCCATTCCATCCAGCATCATGGAGCTACTACAGATTCCCTGAGGCCAACGGGAATACTCCAATACACACCACTCCAGCAGGTGASCTAAACCCACATGCTTGGATCCATCCACCCACAGAACCCTTGGAAAAAGGCTGCACTCACGGGATTGATATCCAGAAATGTCTCGTGGTATTCTTTGCTGGGATGCATGCCCTCTATGTCCTCTACAAACTTTGGATCTGCTTGGTAAAAATGTGGAGCCGACAGAAATATCGGAGCACCTGGAATGCGAAAACACAAAGACACCACTTAGAAAATGCTGAGTGGGATTGGGGGAAACCTTTGAGGAGCTCACAGCTCGGAGTTATTCACACAGAGGTCACAGTGGAGCTGCAGGAGCAGCAGAACATACCTTGCTTGCAGACACTGACGTTGAGCACGCCGGTGCCGGGGCAGTTGCCGGCGGGCACACAGAATCCAGCGTTGGCAGGGTTCACCGAGGTGTTGGCAAACACCATGGAGGAGGGCACGAAACGGAACGTGGGCACCCCAGCCACAGCTCCTGAGCTGTCATACACCAGGAACAGAGACCTGCAGGGAGGCACAGGGGAGCTGGGTGGTCAGGCTGCAGCACACAGCACCCCSCTGCACCCAGCTCCTGTTTGCATCSCACCACCTTCTGTATGGAATCAAACAGCAAACACATCTCATCATCCTGCTGCTGCATGGAACACAGGGTCCCATGTCACTGCTGCACCACCAAGGGAATGTGGTCATGGAACACACAACAATCTGCCATGTACTGAATTTAGCCCGACACGTGTCTGTATTGATTTCAAAAAWTTCAGATTGGTTTTGCTCTTTGCACACCGGGAAGTGAGCAAGGGTGTGACAAAGTGGTAGGTAAGGAAGGAAATGCATCTTGTTGAATCTCAGCATCATGCAGAGATGTGAATCTCTGAAGAGGGCAATCTGGATTCTTTCAAAAAGCACAGCACACCGGAAGACTCAGGAAGTTCATATAAATCCCTCYATTCCCCTCATGACTAGCCTTGCTAACATCCCAGTTTTCTTCCAAATTTTGCCCTCACAAGTCTTCATGTTGAAACAACACATTCTTAATTTGCTGCAGATAAGGAGTTTTTTTCTGTAACTCTCATCCTTCACACCACAAATAAATGCAGAACATTGCTACTGTTAATTATAATCACAGGAGGAGAACCACAACACCTTGAGAAGAATAGATGGAAACACGCTGCCTTAAAGCCTGAGTGACACTGTCTTCTCCTTACCTGCAGAARTCAGAAGAAAAGATGTAAATCTTCTCATCTTTACTGATCAGTGGGTGAAAGGATGTCCCATCTGTGCCATTGATCATGTTACATGCCTCTGTTGTCCACCAGTTCAAGGACCTAAGGAAAGGGAAGCAAAGAGAATAAAGGGCTAAAAGATCATCAYTGAGGCAATGGCAGCTCCTGGCCTGAGCAAATGGGACTCAGACTGTGCAGTGCTAATTCCTCCTGCCTCARCTCTGCCAACAAGAAAAGGGATTGAAAAGGGTTGAAATTGCATTCTCTCTGACAAAGGCAACAGCACACTGAAAAACTCACTCTTTTCCTTTCCACTCCACAATCCTGGAGAAGTTCAGGTAGTTTGTTTCCCCACTCAGGAAAACGTATTCTCCATCATCGGTTCCGTTCATCTGCAAACAGATACAGGAGTTTCAGTGGCTCCACTCATCTGTGCCAGCTGACTGGTCACTGCAATGGGGTGGCAGGAGCTCCAAATACACCCCAGGAATGATGGACTACCCCTGAGATCTGTGCACTTCATTGAACTGCACCTTGAACAGGAACGAGGTGGTAGTGACCAGGAAAGCACTTTACACATCCCAAGTGCAGGAAATACAACACYAGATGAGCCTTTTCTCCCTCTGAGAGCTGTCCCTGAATAAACAGCCCTCAGGAAGAAAATAACCCCATGGAAATAGCCTCAGGAGTGCAGACATCTCCAAAAAGCAAGGACTACCCACAGCCCAAAATGACCAGAAACACTGCAGAAGCAGCACAGAAATAACATCCAATCTCAATCAATCACTAAGAAATCAGTCAGGACATTTTCTAGCACTTTGCACGAGTGGGCCCATGGCATTCAAGTGAGCACAGGCAAGAGTGGAGGGGGTCATCCTTGGAGAGTTTATCTGGCACTGGATGTGAGGGATGGATGAAGAGGGAGCATCCTTGGCTGTCCCTACTCAATCCAGGCCCAGCCCTGTCCCAGCCCAGCCTGCAGCAGTGCCACCATGGCAATGTGGCCATGCAGTTACCTTGCTGAAGAGGCCAAACACGGGGTCAATCTCGGGGTGCAGCACGTGGATGGTGGACAGCAGCCTGTCCTTGTAGCCCCAGAGCAGCTCGTGGACACTGCGGACGGTGAACACRGACTCCTGGTACAGCAGCAGCAGCACCTCCGTGGCAAACTGCAGAGGGGTTGATCTGGTCCACTCCATGGCTGTCTGCAGGGCATGGCAATGGGAGAGCAGTGATCAGATTGATGGGGGATAAATAACACCAGCTGCATCCAGACATGGACACTTCTCACCACTGCACATTCATTTCTCCAAAATGCAAACAGCATTTTATAATAGAATGCTTATCTCCTTTCTCATCTTTCAAGAGGTAATAACAAAAGCAGAGCATTTCTTTGGGCTAACCAACTCTTCTCATACTGCCTGTTACAGTACATCAAAGCCAAAAATCTGAAGGAGAGATAATCCTTACCACCACGAGATGCCTGGGAGGAATTGAAAATACAGTGTCTGTATGGGCTGCAACTCTCAGTAAGCTGAGTTCTATCTGCTACTGCATACAGGGCAGCTCTGTATTCATTCAGTAACATCAGGCTTTTTTGGAAATGATGAGGAAGAAGTTGAAATGAATGCACCCAGCAACTGAAATTAATTTAGGATGGAGAGTAAAGGCTGAGCCACACCCCCAAGTACTGGAGTACAGCCTGATTTCCTGGGGAAGCTGTGACAGTTTAGATCTGCTGGTTCTCATGCTGTCCCTGTATGGGACCAAAATAATGGTCTGTCTATGATCACTGCAAGACTCTATTTCACCTAACACAGCCTGGGGGTGCATTTTAAACTTGAATTCTACTTTAAGAGGTCCTTTTCATTCAGCTCCATGTAAAACTCCTCTGGTGTAGTTTCTGCTCAGTTTGAGAAGCAGACTTAGAGGCAACTTCCCCAATTTTGACAAAATAACCCCAAGCATTCCTAACTTTCTCACATAGAAGTCAGAATTCCTTCTAAGCATTTGACATCCCTAATTCCCTAGTTTCACACACTCAAGGAAGCCCAGCAAGCCTGGTTTCTCCTCATCCCTGGAGAGTGTGTCATCTCTTAGCACCAGAGCAAGGTATTAACACTGCAGAGGTGTGAGGAGAGGAACAAAATAAACAAAATAAGCCCCCCACAAGAGTCCAGCCCCAAACTGAGACCAGACACAAGCTGTCTCTCTGCTTCTTCCATCACATTTATCTACCACAAAGGGAGAGTCAGGATGAAGCAACACACTGCTCATTCTGAATGAATTCCAAGAAGGAATGAAAGAGAACTCACCACTGCAGGAATATTTATTGTCCTGATCAGGTCCACTTCAGGGTCTCCCACTGACTTCTCAGGTTCAAATACATAAGTCTTTGGGTTCAGAGCAGACACTTTGGTTCCATTGTCCAAAAACTGGATGTGCACTCTYGGCCTGTATTCCCTGAAAAACAAGAGGTTGTTCTCTAATCAAGTTAAGCAAATACACACAGCATTAACTGTAATTAACTTATGTCTGTTGTACTGCTTTAGGCACATATAGGGAGGGATTTTCAGTTCTTTGGGAGAGAATTGGCTCACTGACACCCCACTGTGTCAGTGTGAGCTGAGTCAGACCTCATGGAGTGTTTAACCCCACGTGTAAATTGCACTTGGTATTTTTGCCTCATCTTTAAAAACCTCAAAGGAAGCAGAGCAATTTCACACGGCTCAGAAGGATTTAGAGGCACCATAAATCCAGTTTGAAACCGAAACTTTTGCCTCTGCTGCATGCAAAGTTCACTCCCAGGAAGATGCAGGGCTGCCTGTGTCTCACTGATCTGACCTAGGAGCCCAGGAGATTCCTGACATGGCTTACTTGTGACACAAACACAGAACAAGTCTCATTTGAGTTCTCCTATAATTCTTGAGCAGGAATCCTGGGCATGACAGAAATTCAACTGAATTTTTGCTGTTTGCTCCCCGTGGCCTGGGAGGTTCTGCTGTCCCTGTCTGAGCACTATGCAGCAGGATAAAACTCAGGATTGCTGACAAACCAGTCCAATTGGCAAGGAACATCAAAAGCTGCCTGCTGGCCTGACAGGAAGTCACATCTTAATTACCCCCAAACACAGGTCAGGAGCACAAATCAATTTTCATTGCCATTAGCACTTTGCAAAGCAGCATCTGCAGCTGTGTACAGCAAACCCCAAAAGGGAAATGGCAGGCAGGCTGCTATTCTCACTGCCTGCCACACACACAGGGTGAAACTCCCCCTTTCCTAAGCCTGCATTTACTCAGCAGGCTGTTGGCTTTCACATCTGCCTGGGCAAATTTCAAGTCACAAGACACAAGGGAGAATTGTTGTGGAAGATGTTGTGCATTCAGTTCAGATCCCAGATTGTGTCTGGGCTGCACTGGATCCATCAGTGCACTTTCACAACAGGCTACATTACCCTGCCTCAGCTTTCAGATTCAAAACAAACTGGAAAGGCCTGTAAAACTACTGTTATCAGCAGCCAAGCACTTCCATCTTCCTCACCTAAACAGCATCTCTACCACTCCCAGCATCCCAGGAACATTTGGGTCTGGCAACACTTCCAGCTTGACTTGGCAAGAGCCTCTTGGACAGCAATCCATTTTATATTCCAGGGCTGGAACTGAGGGGGTGGAAATGGGCAGCTGTGAAATGCCTTCCTAAAATAGGCCAGGAGTAACCTGAGACACCTCTCCAGCTCTGGAGAGGAAAATAATACTCCCTGATGAGGGATATGAGCAGGAGGCTCTGAGATGTAAAACTTAAAACGTTGTAAATATGTGCAAAACCAGACAATCTTGCATTGCTCTCTGGGACTCAGCAGGCTTGGGCAGATGAGCAGCTTGCCCTTTATAATTACCTGTTTTACATGCTGCCAGTTCAGMTTCCAGGATTTAAAAACACCAGCACTACTGTTTTCATTACAGAATCTACCTCAAGGGCTTTACAGTGGATGCTGGTGAAAACTCTGAGCTGCAGGAGGAGACTCTCTTGATCCCTCCCACATCCTCCCTGGCACTCACGGGATTTTTTCCCTCTGCTCATCTGGCTCAGTTCAGTGCCAGCCTTTCCCCTGACACCCTGATTTATAAAAGCACAGAGCCATGCACTTCATCTGAGAGCATTCTAGGTGTTCTACCACATGCTAAAGCCAAATGAGTCTTGCAAGCTTTGCCATACGGGGCCTGTGAAAGCAGCTGGATGTTTATTCCCTGGCTGGAGCATGCAGCAGGGCTGGAGCATCCATCCCTCCCTGCTCCCTGTGCTCCACACCCACTGACAGCCAGCTGCAGCCACAGCCAGGCAAGAATTGTGCAATCTGCTGCAAGAGAGCTCTCCACTTCCTAACTGTTCCTGCTGCTGTCAGACAGAGCAGAGCAGAGCAGAGCACAGGGGAATGCTGCCCTGGCATGCCAGAACCAGGCTAAGCCCACGAGGCAGCAGCAGCTGGAATGTGCAGCCTCCTTCCTTCCCTCCCTCTCCCAACACAGCAGGCAGGGCTGTGTCAGGGACCCACTGGCGTGGGATGCATGGAAAGCAAACCAGCAGCTCAGGCTGGGCCTCCCCCGGGGCAGGGACCAACCCAGCCAGCACAAGAGCAGCCCCATCCACCCTGCTCAGCTCCTGCAGGGACAAGGAGCAGCTCCCAAACCAGGTTACCGGTGACACCAGGGAGAGACTCACAGCTAAAGAAAGGGAAAGAAGCTGGCAAAAAGGGCTGGATACCAGCCTGTGTGGTTCCCTGCAGCTCTGTTAACCCTATTTATCTTCCTGACACACAACACATTGCTGACTAATGACCAGTGTTRTGCTACACACACCTGAAGAGAAGCTCGGGAACCTGGAGCCTTTCTCCAGCTCCACTGGCTCATGTAATAGCAGGGATTTTGCCAAAATACCACACGGACTTTGCCAGGGCTAAACAGAGAGGACCAGCATGCAGAGGAGACAGGGGAAGGGATTGCTGGCAGAGGAAACAAAGCTGAGGAGGAAGGAAACTGAAAGGCAAGAGATAATGCAGGAAACATGGCTCCCACAAAGGCTCCTGCTTTCATTCCAGCATTTTTCCCAATATTAACAGATTCTGACCCTTTTTCAGTTTAGGTCAAGACTATTTCTTCTGGCACTGAGTCAGTGCCCAGCCTGGATGAGCCCATGGGACCAGAAGTGAGGCTGACAGCATCCAGCGTTTTGCCATGGGAATGGAACCCCTCATAACTCCAGGATTTCCAAGACCACAGCCCTCCCTGCCACAGGAATGCTCCTGGTTTACAGGGCTGCAGGCAGCTGAGCAGAACACAGCTCTAAAGGAAAACTCCTTTGTAAGGTAAMTTGAAAATCTCTCCATGCCACACAGGATAGCTCCAGAGGCTGGACAGCATCCAAATCCAAATGACAGATATGTCTAAAACCCAAGCAGGTTTTACAGTGAGGGTTGGCTCTGACTGAAACCAGTTGTAAGTGATGCCTGGATTAACTTTCCCTCGCACATGAACACCTAGGTTTTTTCCCTGAATGGGATCCCAAGTGTTCTGGATTTTACATTTTAGCTTTGTCACACATCAGAGTTTTGGTGAAAGGGTCCTACCTGTAGGTGTATGGTCCTCTTTCCTCGACGAGAGGAGAAGCACCTTGGAGCACTTCCAAAGGGTTTGTCACATTGAAGAAGTAGAACTGCATGTAGACTGGGGGAGGAGGGTCCTCCCAGGCCTCAAAGGTCTCTGTGCCATTCTTCAGTACTGTTCCCTGAAACAAGAGCCAGGCAGATCAGCAGCCAGTGCTGTGCTGGTGCATGATACTGAGAGGAAAGAGAGCAATTCCATGCCTTGGGAATGAGCACAGGCTGTCAGACCCCAGTTCTTGATCTGCTCTACTTTGAAACATCTCACTGTCAACCAGCTCAGGCCACGGGAACATTGATGGGGTTTGTAGTTCCATTCCTCCCCACAGGCAATCCTGCCTGACATTTTCCAGAATGGAGAATGATCAGSTATTACTCAGCAATCCTGTTTCCTTTCCTGCATCAGCAAAAACCTCCATCTGGTGCAAGACACCACTAAACATGCCAACATTACAGATTAAAGTGGAACTCAACAGTGGGAATCCTAGAGAGTCCTGGCCTTTATGATTTCTTTGCCCAAGAATGCCAAGATTCCAACAGAGTGGGAGATTCTGTCTCCAAAGCAATTAGAACTTGTTTTTCAGTGGCCTGTGAGAAAAACTGGGAATGACAAATTTCTTTCCCATAGGCACTCTAGGATTTGTGCCWTTCCAAAATCTTGGAAGAGGGCAAATCTTCTTTGCCTGTGTCTTTAATTCCTTTCCCACAGCAATGTCAGCTCATGCATCTCCAGACCCACAGTCTGTCAGTCTGTTTTGCAACCGAGCTATAAATCATGATTTCATAGCAGAAGCAATTAAGAAATGAAACACTAATTCCCTTATTTCACTAATACCCCTTATCAGTATACAGATGTTACATGGAAAGTCACAACCACACCTATCACGTAGAGCTCCATGACAGACGTCTCAATCTCTCACTTCAGATAAAATTCACCCCACCTATAAAGCATCCCCACCACCAAAATCAAGGTTTTTCATGCAGTTCTAACTCTGGAACTGCTTCAGTGGTCACAAAGAGAAATCTGGCTCACAGAGTGAATTTTCAGGAATAAGCACAAAGACAACTCTGTCTTTGAAAACCGCATCACCTGTAGGCGGAAGAAGGGGAGGGGGGGAATAATTTGCAATTAAATGGTTCTCCTCAACACTCRTTCTTTTTATTCTTCTGTGCAAACAAGTCAAATATTGTGAGTGGRAGCTCAGAAGCCAGGCAGGCTGGACAGCTGCCAGCTCGTGGTCCATGTTTATGGRGTCTTATCAGCCACAGTTGGTTCAGGACTCATTCTTGGCCTTCCTGCTTAAGGAGCCACTTTTTTTCCACGCAGACTTTGATTTTGAAGATGAGATAAAGAGAAGACTGTTTCCAAGACAAACTTATTGGCAGGAGCTTGGCATGACAGGAATAATGCTGCATGGCAGTGAAAGCCAGCCCAGCTGGTGGCAATTTGCACTTGCAGCTTGCTTCCCCTAAGGATTAAAACTCATGTATTCCATGCACAGCTCAAAAATTCATGTGTTTCAGACATGCTTGAGGAGCTCAGAGCACTTCTCTGGAACTACCAACACCTCCTGTATACAATTTTCTACAGAGTCTGATGCTGTTGATCCTGTTTTCTTCTGATTTATACCAAGGAGACTAATTCTTGTATTCACAAGTGTTCACCAGTCATATCCATTCCAGATTTACTCCTTGGATCTGCATGGCACAGTTTGGACTGAAATTARGTGTCTATTTATAGCTCTGTACAGTGACAGCAACCTTGTGAGCTGCATTCAGAGACACTCCCCAAACCTGCCAAAGAATGAAACATGGCAAGCTCGTGTGACTTTCACCAAATGTTACCAGGGATATTTGTGTCTGTCACATGATATTAAAAGACATTGGGGCTTCTCCTTTCCAAGTGCTCATTTCCAGTGTTCCAAAGAATCCTTCCTGCTCACTGTGTTTATCAGCCAGCCCTGAACTCACAGCTCTATCATTTGCTGCTGTTTCCTTGCCTTGACTGTGCTTTACACACAGGAAATAAAAAGGAAGCTTTCCCTCCTAAAAATAACTTATATATATATGTGTGTAAATATAACTGGTAGGGCTGGTGGGAATGGAAATGGTACCGAACATTTCTGAAACCTACACAGAAAATTTAATTCCCTTTTTTTTCCCCTGGAATGTTTTAACTCCAAGATGCACTTGTTCATCTATGACAGAGTTTAAGGGAAAATTGTTAAGGTGCTGGGGGAAGCTCTCAGACCAGCATGGACAGGCYTCTCTACTCCTGCACCTTGGCAATGTCCTGCCCCAAAGGAGGCATTAAACAGCAGCAGCAAAAATGATCAAAAACATCAATGGACAAAACATCCTCCTTGTCCTTCTGRGCCTCAAACACTCAGCCAATGCAGCTCGAGAGATGGCTGGCGACACAAGGCCAGGGGAATTTCAAGAGGTTTGTAGACTGAGTGTTTTTTAAAATTATCAGCATAAGGGATGTGGCATGAAGGGAACACCCGGGGCAAAGGAATGACTGACTTCATTTATATTATATATATAAATATTAGGTTATATTCATAATCTGCACACTTATGGCCAATAAAATCACAAGTAGCTGCCCAATATCACAAAAGCACAAGCCAACACCACTGGCAGCAGTGCAGGGGAGATTCATCTTGGTACATTATAGTTTTTTTCCTATTCTCTGGACTTGCAGGTCCTAGGCTGTGATAACAAACAGGTTTTGGCCACCTGATTGGGATGGCAAGGTTAGTTTACAAAAGGACAATAAAATGGCTGATAAAGAATAAACTGATAAGATTTGAATGCCTTCTGGAAAAAGTGCTGCCGTCATTCTTGTCACAACACACCTGCCCATTGAATTCCAAGGGGATGTGAAGTCTGACAGCAGGTTGGATTTCCCTCTCTTCCCAACCCTCTCTGTATCCCAGATCCTGCCTGTGGCTGGAAGGGCTGCTGCACACAACCCCCTGTGAAAGCAGAGCCATTCTCAGCAGTTCACAGGTTCTGGATTTGGAGACACKGGTGCTTCAGCTGCTCCACAGTACAGCTTTGCACTCCAGCTGCATTCCAGACTGCAAAGCCAGCCCTTCACTGCCAGTCAGCCCCATTTCAGGACTGCRGGAAAGCCCTCAAAACAGGAACTCCTTGCAAAAGCTCAGGTCTTGCCCCATTTCAAAGGCAAATTGAGATTTGTCTGTTTGCACAAGATTTTCTCAGCTACACACGCACGGTTACACAAGAGACAGCAGCTTTCTAGACTACACACAAATGAGGGAAAGCTCACGTGGGATGGAGCACATGTGGAGAGAAGCCAGGTCAGCACAGGAACTGGGAGCACCCTGCTTTGGGGCTGAAAGCTGCACTTTGCTTTGGGGCTGAAAGCTGTACTCTGCTTTGGGGCTGAAAGCTGTACTCTGCTTTGGGGCTGAAAGCTGCACTCTGCTTTGGGGCTGAAAGCTGTACTTTGCTTTGGGGCTGAAAGCTGCACTCTGCTTTGGAGCTGAAAGCTGTACTTTGCTTTGGGGCTGAAAGCTGCACTCTGCTTTGGGGCTGAAAGCTGTACTTTGCTTTGGGGCTGAAAGCTGTACCTCCCCAGTCTGGGGGCGTGTGGCTCCCCAAGAAGGCCAGGGGGAGCTGGCAGCTCTGGCAGGGAGCCGATACCTCATTCCCTGCAATCCAGATGTGTGCCAGCACCAGCTGGAGTGCAGCAAGCAGGAAAAGACTCTGGAAACTTTATCCTGCATTCCTGACAGCCCTGCTGAGCGAATACCAACTTGCTGTTACATAAGGGGAAGGAGCAGGCAGGGGAAGAGCAGGCAGCCGGGAGATAATACGCGTAAGGAGGATCACATCTAATTCCTGACAGTCCTGTCCAAACCTCWGCTCCTGCCACAACAGCATCGAGCACACTGGCAAGGACAACTCCTGGGATGGCAGAGGATGGCAGATGCCAAGGAGAGGCAGGATCAGGGGGATGGAGCTGCACCTCCAAGTGCCAACCTAAAACTGCACTCGCCAAACCAAACTGATTCAAATTAAGAGAACGCAGTTTCCGTGGTAGGAAATGCTCCCTGTCAACAGCCCAGAGGAAAGAATAGGAGGTCACAGGTGATTTGGTCACCAGTTAGACAAYAGCACTGGTGAAATGCCTTCATTGGTTAGCATTCCTGGTTTCTCTGTCAGAATAAAAGCTAAAATGATRTTCCTCAGACTAGGCAGATAAATAATGGCTCATTTACAAAGGAATTCCAAGGGGATTGCTAACACAGCTGACCCTTCTCACTGGACCAGTGGATAATTGCACACTGGATAACTCTGGGAGAGAAACAAAAGCTCAGGCAGAGCAGGAGCAGTGTGGGCCTGTGCACCCACAGCAATGCTGGGCTGGGTGTCCCCAAGTGCACAACAGGGTGAAATGCCTGGCTGCCATCACCCATCCTGGGAACGGGGAGACACCACGTGCTCCAGCCCACAGCACCTCTGGCTGTGCTCCAGAGGCAGCAGTAAATGGAGCAGCAGAACAAGCAATCTAACACAGAGACGGCCAAAAGAGGGGGTGGTTGAGGGTGTCCCCCGCTCCCCTCAGCTGCTGCTCCTCTGGAGAGGGCCCCTCGCTACAGCTGCTGCCCCACAGCCAGCAAAGCTGCCTCAAGAGRTGGCATTTTTACCCATCCTCACCCAATTTTACCCAGCCCAGGGACCAGTGCAGCCTGAGCTCCATTCTGAGCCCAGCCCGGCCGGGTGGTGCTGGGCAGAGGGATTCACTGAGCAGAGAGCGCTCACGGCCCAGGGATGCTCCTGCCCACCCACCCACAGCTGCTGCAAGGAGGGAGCCAGCCCAGCCCTCCCTCCCAGGGCTATTTTCAGATGCAATAAAGCGGTAAACAAGGACCAAAACGAAAACGCGGCCGTGCTTTTACCTGCTTCACCTGCAGATCCACCACCGTCTGGAAGACGTGCGCCACCAGCAAGGAGATGCTGGCGATSAGCAGCGTCATGGCCAGGACCCCCACGGTGACGAGGCACAGCGACTTCATGGCTGCGGCTGCTGCTGCTGGCGAGCAGGGACCGCCGGGGCTCGGCCGGGCTGGCTCCGGGGGCGGGCGGACCGTGAGCCCGCCCAGCGCCGGGAGGAGCCGCCGCCGCCTCCGCCCCTCGGTGCCGCAGCTCTCCCGGGGATGCTGTCCCGGGGATGCTCTGCTCTGCCGGGGATGCTCACCGGGGATGCTCTGCCGGGGATGCTCTGCCCTGCCGGGGATGCTCTGCTCTGCCGGGGATGCTCACCGGGCCAGGAGGATGTATCCCAAAATAAAGGCGGTCGGTTCCTGCCCGCAAGGAGTCTGGCACAGCCGCAATCCTCCTGCCCGCTGGGGATGGCGCTGCTAGAGCCGCTGGAAAACAAGCTGAGAAATTCCCACGAGATTATTGGGGAAAACTTGCAGRGAGCGGGAAGCGCCTCTAGACTGAATTGAGCCTCGAAGGGATCGGATTCTGCCACAATTCAATGCAGTTCAGCTGCCACTAACACAGTTAAGCCTCTCTTGAAAAACAAATCAAATCAATGTACGTGCTTTTTTAAAAGCCATGGGGCTGTTCTGCTCCTCTTTCCTGCAACAGGGGCTTTGCCAGCTATGATGTTCATGCCAATCCCTTTCCATCACGCCCCTCCTGTGACACAAAAGGAAGCATTTTGCGACCTGATCCAAGTAATGCCTTGCTGAGCAAGAGGGCAAGTGGCCCATCAGGTGGATTTCCTGCCTGGATGGACTGAAGCATCTTCCTTTAGAAATACTTCTTCCTGTAATTGTGATTGCAGCAACGGTGTTATGTTATTACGTGCCCTTTCGGATATTTTTGCTTATGAAAAGTTCTGAGGTCACATGTCACAGCTGKTTGGAAAAACAGAATTTTTGTGGTTCCACCCATGCAGTAAAAAAAAAAAAAAAGTTGTTCTGGCAGCTTGCTTTTATTTAGATTCCCATTCCAAAGCAGTTTTCTTAGCCCTGTTTCATCATCTCTCCAAAATCCAAAAAGGAGAGTACATAATTAGAACCTGGTTTTAAAGGCTAATTTAACTACAGCAATAGAACTCTCCCCTTAGAAAGACTCTTCCATGGGAAATTTCTCTCTGAAACCATAAGCCTTCCCTTCCACCATAAAATATTTTAGCTGAATCCTGGCACAAATATTTATAGATCAAGCAACGATTTCTGCAGTATTTTGGGGTTTTAATTCAGCTTTTTGGTTTATTTTTCCATAAAAAACTACCCTTGTGACACATAGAAACACATTTTTTCCAAACAGATTTTCTAAATWCTCAGTGTGAACWATTTTCTTTTTTTTTTGGCAAATTATTTGACCTTTGGAAGCCAAGGAAGTGCTCACTAGSCAACACTCCTGTGAGGAGTGGCTGTGCCTCTGGAGTGCAGCCTGGGAATGCAGTGGGTGCTCTGCTGGCTCAAGGCACAATCCTGTGTCATAATTACAGATCCCTGAAACAAGCAGAGGCACATCTTCCCTTTCCAGCATCATGTTGCTATTACAGACAAGGCCCACAGTCTGGAAATGATGCACACAGTGAAATTGTCCTGTCCTGTGCACTGGGAATATCTTTGATAAATAGAAAAGCCAAACTTACTGAGGTTGTCATGCGGCTCCTTCGGTTTGTGCAACACCAGGCACTCGGCTCCTTGGGGTCTATGCAAGGCAGGAAAAGCTTGTGAGGGAAGGAGTTAGGAAATCATACAGCATGGTATCAGAAAAATCAGAACAGATCACAAATCCTGAATCCCATCCCCATGGTTTAGTAACTATTAGTGAATGTTTAAAGCTGCCCACAGCAGAGGGCTGGAGCAGCACACAGGAGGGGTGGGGTACAGTTCCTTGTCTCTYTGAGTGCATCCATGCCCCTTCCCAGATCTCTGGACTTTGAGAACCAAGATAGGAATCGTGCTTGCCCTTCCAGCAGACAATCATCAGCCAGTGCTGGCAGACCTGTTCACACCCGTCTGACTGGATCCAGGCCTTGCACTGCTTCCTGCAGAGCTGTGACCTCAGGGCAGGAGAGACACCTCTCCAGGAGCAAGAGCAGTTTCACCTCAACGCTGAGAATGCAGAAAAGAGCTTTGTCTAATGAACACTGTACCAGTTTCTGTCTTATCTACAATTTGGGTAGGTTTATCCATTCACCTCCTGCTGTATGATGTTTGCAGTCTGCATCTCTCTGTGATKAGTGGGACCTGGCTGCCCAGCCCATCCACACGACATTAAACACGTGACAGGGAACCTGCAGCTCCTTGCCATTCCCAGTTTCCTGACCAAGAGCTGTGCTGCTGCAGTTCCAYAGAAAGGGCCAAGGACAGCACCACAAGCTTTACACACAGAGAACACTCCCAGCCTTGGAGGAGCAGCTCTGAGCAACACCCAAGTGCATCTGTAACACATGAGGAAGAGCTTTCAGAGGCTTTGCTCTTCTGCTTTCCCTGCACAACTCACACACATCCCTGTCACCAGACAACTCACACATGCTGCCTTTCTAGTACTCCATGCTTAATTAATAAAATAATAACCTAATTATAAGATCCTGATTTCAGCTGAGAGTTGAGACATTTCTGAAAGGTTTGTTAAGTGATCACATTTCACTGTCTCAAGTTTTAATTTATTCTTCCTACAGAGTACAAATTAAATGCTGGCAGGAAAGCAGTTCCACTTCAGGGCAGAGCTACGCTGCAATTACTGGGTTCATCAGTGGCCTTGGAAAGGGTGGGAGCAAAGTTGATGCTTTTGTAAGAGCAGCCTTTGCTCTTGGGTTAGAACATTGCTTGATTTCCAGATTTGGGACAGTGACATCCCAGGGGACAGGACATTTGCCTGCAACAGCATTTAATTTTGCTGCTGAGGAAATTAATACTTTAAACTGTAATGAGACTAGCAGCAAAAATGTTTTTCACTCTGAAATTTGGRGCTGACCCTCATGTTTTTGACACTCCCCAGCTACATATGGCAGTCCTTGTGGATTGTAAGCCTCTCATACACACATGCATGTCATAGTTGTGATATAGGCCATCTGAAAATCACACACAGAGTCATATTCCTCGTAACTCGAGCTAGACCAAAATTAGCAAGTGCAGCCCCTCATGCCCGTCAGCCACTTCTGGTTTGGTTTGTGCTGCCCTGACTCATGTCCTTGTGCAGCAGGAGCCTCATGACTCAGGGTGCCAAGCTGCACCATCTGCGTGGGACTGAGCATTGCTCCAGGGCACCTTTTCCTCACTGCCCTCYTCACCCACATTCCTCCCCTCAGCTGCTCCGTGCTTTTCCAAACTCAAATCCCTAGCTCAGAGCACCTCCTTCCCAGCACTGGCACAGAGCAGAGCTAGAGTCCTTCCTGCTGAGGCACAAACACTTTCTGGGGTGTGAAAATGCCACCAGGGGCTGTGAAACCTTGCTGRGAAAGGAAGGCAAGGGAGCTGCAGGGCATGCACTGGGATGAACAGAGGCTCTGGCAAGTGGCAATGTCTGGGAGCTTACACAGGTTTGCTGAGGGCCTGGTTTGCAGTGCCAAGCTCATGCCACCARTGAAGTTCCTCCTGTCAGAGTTTTRCTGCCTTAATTCATGTTCCTGCTTCTGCAATGCAGACTGCAACAGGAACAACGGCGTCCTTTCAAGTGCTGATCTTACACTCTTGAGCATTGCCAACAAGAAAATGAGCATTTTCCAAACCTTCCCCTTTCTATACCGCCCTTGAGGCAGCTCCAGGATGAACCAGGTTTACTTGTTCTGCTGCTGCTGAGCACCACAAACAGCCCTGGACTACTKGGAACACCCTCTGCACGCCAAGGGATAAGCACAAGTGTGGAAGAGCCAGGGAGGAACCAATACCAGAGCTGATATGTGCCCATGCTGTTCCCAGCAGCAGAGCAAAGGAGAACCTGGCAAAAAAAAATGGAGGAATGCAAAACCAGACCAGTATCATGTTCACTCTTCCCTTACAAACAAGGAGACATTGAAGCCTGAGCCACCATAAAAATCTAACCCTGATTTTATGGTAGGGAGAGCTGTARGGAGGGGCAGGTTTCTGACACACAGAGTCGGGTTAGTCATGCAGGTCAGGTACTCTATCAGKCATACAGCTCCCATCAATAGCTGACACTGCAGAGCAGAGACTTTACCCTGCAGCCTCRAAAACCTCTCCTGTAACCCTGGACATGACAGATCTTATAAAGAATCTCTCATTTGAACAGAATAAATAGTGATTGTGCACTTTTTACCCTACAGTATGGCATGCATGCTTCCTAAAAAAGGGAGGATTACAGTCGACAACTGTCAGTGGGACTTCAGGGCCCAAATCCCACAGCACAGGATGAACACTCCAACCCCAACCCAGACCCTCCTGAAGGGAGGGAGCAGGGACAGACCTGTTCCATTTATTTGCTYCACTTGGAACTCTGAGTTTCAAGAACCCATCCACTTTCAAGTACTGTTTGAGATGGCACATGTACAAGCAAGCCAATAGCATATTTCCCTCACCTGTGAGTTCCATCCCATATAAATGCTGCTCCTACATTACAAATATGAGGGATGCTCTACTGGAATATAATAGGATTTTTCCTTTCCTTAGCTTATTCTCAACTGCTTCTCCATCTGCAAGAGTTGAAGAGCAGACTGTGCCCCTTAGAAAGAGGCTCCTGCATTAAAGCCTAGATGCACACTACCCTTCCACTCAATTTTACTGGGGAAAAATGAAGGTCCTGCATAGACAGCCAGGGATTTTCCCACTCTCTGCCGACTGCATTTGAGAGAGGCTGCAAACCTGCAATCAGTATCTGCTTTGTTCTGAGCCTGTCTTTTATCACAGCCTGAGATCTTGCCCTGTTCCTGAAGTAAACATAGGTATTGAAGGCTGCAATTAGAAGATTTTGCCAGCCTGCATCACATGATGATTTACTCCGGCAATCAACTAACTCTAATTAAAATTCTGCAGTGTGAGTATCTTTTAGCAGGCAGCACCAGTGGTACCAGAACAGCACAGC